TATATCCTGATCTGCCATCCTTTGTTATTATATCATTGTTAGAGAATTGTTATAAAAACAGAAACAAACTTGATTTAAAACCATAAAAATCTATGAATTCAATATATTTTAAGAACCGCTCCAGGTTTAATGCGGCTGATCCATAAATAACCACGATCGAGTGCATTAACAGTGTCTAGGTAATGTTATCGATATCAGGCTTGCATATGATGAATGGACCTGTTCAGATTTTGGAGAAGTGACATGCACATGGCCCATGTTTCTAATAATCAGTAATCCCTGAACAGATTGTCACAGTTTTTTCTACTTTTAGATCGAGGTGATGTCATAGACAGGGGATATTCTTAATATGGTCATCTTGTGCAAAGAAGCCCCTCCCACCTTTGTTTAGGAGGGGCAGCCAATCAGAAGAAAGGAGCCAAAACAGCTTGTTTCGTACAGAGGACGATCTGAGGAGCTGCACCGGTGCGACGTACAAAAGGATTATTTTGGACTGTGAATCATGCAAAGCTGCTGTAATGGAGTGACAATAAAGATGTTAAGGTTAAAAGAGAAGAAAATATCCGCTTTGGTGAATAACTGGCACGATAAATACAGCAGCAGCTGTGCTGTAGCGCACATTTCATCCACTCAGATTAACTTTATTTAAGTCGCTTTCATAGATTATACAGAATGTAAATCATTTGAGGCAGTGGGATCTCAGGTCTCAGCCGCAGTACACCAGTGGGGTCTCTGACTCTCTTGGTTACAGACATCACGTCTGGCTTTTCAGTCACCATCAACTGGCACAGTAATCATAGATGTGCAGGATGGCTAATTGAAGTCAGAGTGCAGCAGAAAGGCACGCATATAGAGCATAATTCAGATTCATGTGGGAAGAAGCTGTTTAGAGAGGGTGCTTTCAGCATGCGGCCATTGCAGCTGCCTTCGTCTGTGCGCAGCTAAAGCAGCAAAGACACTGAAGGAAAAGGCTTCCTTTCACGTTTAAAGCTCCAATTACATGGATGAATTTCTTTTATGAAAGAAAAAAGCAAAGGTGGCTTTAAGAGAGGACCCCGTCTCCATAAAGCTCACCGTGAGATAGACGGGGAGGCGAGTTTGTGCAGACGGGAAAGCTCACAGCATAAACATTCGCTCCACATCTCCTCTGTCATTTGCATATTTACAGTCTGCCATGCTAATCATGTTTATTGGGGTGTATAAGAACTGCGCATGGGCTCGACGGCGGAGGACAGCTTTCTGCCGGAGACTGTGAGATATAAAAATTACCCCCAGCCCCCCCATTTTTGAAATAAATGGTTCCTCCTGCGGTAATCCAATTTCAAAAAGACAAAAAGAGCCGTCTTACATAACTAGGACAGCACAGGCTTCTGCTAATTATGGTGTTAAGAATTCCCCTGATTTGAAACAAAGGCCAAGATTCGTGCAGATATTTTTATGTTGTGTTCAGTTCTTCATCCAAAAATGGAACTGAAGCTGCAAAATCCTGAGAAACTCAGTGCAAAAAATATAAATACATCAAGGAAATCAAATCCAGATTTGCTCGATTTCACTTTGAACA